TTTAGATCATATTTTTTGACTTTGTAGTTAAAAAAAAAATCACTAAAATCACTAATAAATATATGAACAAATATAGACTTAAAAGAAATAAAGTAATTAATTAAGAGAAATCATTTCAGACATCATATATAACATTACTAAGTATACAATGCTTGTTGTTGATTTTGTTGACAATTAGAGCTTTAAATAGTAGATTTAGGTAGTAATTAGCTTTTTTGCAGCATTGTGGATCAGTTTTGATCCATTCGTCTTAGCAAATGCTCTTTAATTTCCCCAAGTTACACAAGTCCCTCTGATGGACTCACAGTTTCAAAATCCTTCATAAAGTTTCAGAAAAAAAATATCTGCTGATGCAACAAAGAACTCATCTAAATACAAAAAATCTAGAGCAAACCTGCATAATTCTGATGGAGTTCCAACACTGTGCCTGTGTTAAGGAAGGAAAAGAATCTGAAAGGTAACTATGCAAAGCATTATCCTAGAATGGGTTTTTGTACAGTGTAGCTGGGTTTCCTGTCACTGTGGGCTTCATGGCACAGTAGTAGAGTGCAGAGTCTGATACTGCAGCAGCGGAGATTGTCAGATTCACTGTTTTGTCATGTTCTGTAGCATTCAGTCTTGGAAACGGTGGGGTTGCATGGCTCACAATTTTTGCTGCTGGCAATATCATCAGCAAATACTCTGGTCTGGATCCAGGATACTGACGATACCACTGCAGACTATCAGGACTACGACTTTCATTATGCTTGCAGGAGAGAGTAACTGTCTCATCTTCAAGAGCATGAACCTTCATTTTGTTCTCCAGTGGTGCTATTGACTGTGCAGAGCAGTCATCTGTGAAGAAAAAGTCAAGAATGTTGTATCCTTTTGTATTCTCTTGAATGAATTGATACTCAACTTATCACTGACTTACCACACACACACACACACACACACACCATCATCATCATCATCATCATCACCACAAAGTCAAAAACAGAAAACAAGCATGTATTTCACATAGATATAAATAGTTAATAATGCATACCTATTATGATCATAAAGACAGTCAGAGAGCACAGAAACATCATGGTGGTTCCAGTGTTCAGATAATGAGGAGAGATTTGGTGCTACTGTTCAAGCATGTAAAGACTCCTCCTACATTTGTCAGTGGATCTGCTATAAGAACAGAGGAATGCAGATCAGGATATTAAGTTATTTAAATTTGACTTCTAAGAAAATTACTTTTTTCTGAGCCTCAGTTCTGTTTCACCTTGTCCTCTCTTTACTTTTTTGCTATGTTAAACTGATGGATGTTTATATTCTAATGTATATTTGATGTGGCCGATGAATGTTCAGCTTTTTAATTGACTTTGATTATGCTACCGATTTCTTTGGATCTGTGCCGTTTTTTCTTCATTTCACTTTCGTAGACACTCTGAGTGGAAAATCAGCTTATTGTTGTTGTGTAGCTTTGTTCCGCTCGGCTTACTGATCTTGTAAAAGATGTACTGAATATGCCAGTATGTGCTGAACATATTCAAAGGAGAATCAGAAGACACAGCCCATCTGAGAATACCATGATTAAACCAGAGATTCAGGTTTTATATGGTTGATTTAGTTGGTCACTCACTTTTGCTTCCTCTTACAAATGCACAACTCACCTCACTCCAACAAATCTAGATTAAACCTGCACTTTTCTGGTGGCCTTCCATCATTGCATCTACATGTGATGCTGTTTTTCTCTGTGGCTTAAACACAATCCTGAAATGAAAGCCATTTTTGAAATCACATTGTTCCTCACTGTGACTTGTCAGCAGTCCTTATAATTCTTAAAAAGAGAAAAAACAAAAAATAAAAACAGCTAAAAACTGTACCCTTTATATATTCTCTATATTATGTTATATATAACTTAGTTTACATAAGAGCTACAAAGTCATAGGAAGAAAAGGTTTCAGACACCATAAATAACATTATTAGTTATTTTTACTTTGTCAACAATTACAACTTTAAGTTCAGAAATAACTGACTATTTTCAGCCTTGTGGATCAGTTTTGATCTGCTTCCCTAAGTAAACCCTCTTCAGTTCCCCATGGTTCCCCAAGCCCCTCTGATGAACTTGCAATTTCACAGTCCTGCATAGACTTTCAATAGGATTATATATATACAATGACGTTTACCACGTTTACCCATTCTACTGCCAGTGTTTGTCTGCCAAGACTGCACGGCTATGTGCTTAATTTTATCCACCTGTTAGCAATGAGTGTGGCTGAAAAACCTGAATAAGGAGGGGTGTCATAAAACTTTTGCCCATATAGTATATATAGAAAGGCAACTCAAAACAAAATGCAAAGATTATTCTGCAGTGAGTTTTTGTACAGTGTAGCTGGGTTTCCTGTCACTGTGGGCTCCATGGCACAGTAGTAGAGTGCAGAGTCTGATACTGCAGCAGAGGAGATCGTCAGACTCACTATAGTGTTACTTTGTTCAATATTCAGTCTTGGAAAACGTGGCGTTGCGTAGCTCACAGTTTTTGATGCTGGCATGATCATCAGCAAATACTCTGGTCTGGATCCAGGATACTGACGATACCACTGCAGATTCCTCGGAGTTCCACTATCATTATACTTGCAGGAGAGAGTAACTTTATCATCTTCAAGAGCATGAACCAGTATTTTGTTCTCCAGTGGTGCTATTGACTGTGAAACACAGTTCTCTGTGAAGAAAAAAATCATACAAATTTTGCATCCTTTTTTCTTCTTTTAAAAAGAAGAGATTTCACACACACATCACCACAAAGTCAAAAACATAAAACATAAAAATGTATTTCACACAGTTATGCCTTATGTCTACATACCTAGCATGATCATAAAGACAGTCAGAGAGCACAGAAACATCATGGTGGTTCCAGTGTTCAGATAATGAGGAGAGATTTGGTGCTACTGTTCAAGTATGTAAAGACTCCTCCTACATTTGTCAGTGGATCTGTTATAAGAACAGAGGAATGCAGATCAGGAGAATAACAGTTATTGACAGTTAACCCTTAAGAAAAAATTTTAAGACCTCAGTTGTGATCAGTTTAATTGTCTCACTTTGTGCTCCCTTTACTTTGTTAGTTGTTATACAGGGTGTCCCCCAAAAATTTGAGACATCATTTGAGATGTGAATATCTGAGTAACTACATGTCCTGGGCAAACAAAATTAAATATACTTCATGTTGAACAATATAAGATTTATTAATCAAAATTCAAACAAGAAATTCAGAGGGATGTAGATTTTATAACTGATTACACAAAGCTTCACAAATGTTCAAGATAAGACTTTCTGGGGCTTCGCACAAATGTTTCTCGAACCTGATTGACGATATCTTTCAATACTGGTGGTCGTCCAGATCCCTTTGCCTGCACAGACAGCCTGCCTCTTTGAATTTATTGTGCCGTGTCCAAATCTGCTTTCCATTTGGTGCATTTTATTGAATTGTCTCGAAAATGCACGCTGCACACTCTTGTTTGACGGTGTTGGAACATGTTCTAATACACAAAATGCCTCTTCGTTTCTAGTGAACGCCATTCTTCAACCTGAAAAAATAAATAAATAAATAAATAAAAAATGAAACTTGGTTAGTTTTTACACATTTTGTTAAAATTTGAGATCATTTGAGGGAGAATTGGCTGTTATTAGACTACGAAATGATGTCATTTTTTTGGGACACCCTGTGTATGACGTTGTAAATTCTAATGTATATGTGTTATGGCCTACTGATACAAATTTGTCTGATTTCTGTAGATCCAGGCAGCGTTTTCTTTATTGTATTATCATAGACATTCTTAATGTTAGTAAATCAGCTTACTGTTGCTGTGTAGCTTTGTTCTGGTCCACTCACTGAGCTCTTAAAAGATGTACTGCATAAGTCAGTATGTGCTGAATACATTAAAAGGAGAAACAGACGCCTCAGATCATCTGAGAATATTACATTAAAACTAGAGTCTCACATCATTATATAGCTGTTTAAACTGGTTCTTCACTTCTGCTTCCTCTTCCTCTTGCATTTCACTCCACAGAACACAGTCCACTCCAGTAAATCTAGATTAGAGCTGCCCTCTTCTGGTAAACTTCCATCATTACATCTCTGAGTGTTACTGTTTGTCTCAGTTGCCTAAGAACAATCCTTCAGTGAAAACCATTGTGTGAATTATTCTGTCAGTTGCTCATTTGCTCACAGCCCTAAATGCATTTTTAATGCTTCATGCAGAATCCAAACATTCAAAGAGATGTTTATAAATACTAAGTTGTCTTTAAGTTGTTCAGAAGTTTATTGAGAATACAACATGTAGTTTTGGGCGGAATGCTTATAAAAAGTAGTAAGAATGGAATATTTGAACACTTTAACATGCACTCAACTTCAAAGTCAATGTCATTCCACCCCACAAAGTGTCATGATCAACAAGAAGTCAGAAAACATCAATATCCCCTGACAGATGTTTTGTCAATTTGACATCAAACTTGGCAAATGAAACCTTTATGACAATCTTATCATATTGGAACATACTGTTTTTAAATGTTTATGTAGGCCTATATAGTTGTCATGAAGTGCTTATGTAGGTGTCATTTAGCCTTATGAACATTGCCTTACGGTGGAGTGTTATCAAATTTAGATCATATTTTTTGACTTTGTAGTTAAAAAAAAAATCACTAAAATCACTAATAAATATATGAACAAATATAGACTTAAAAGAAATAAAGTAATTAATTAAGAGAAATCATTTCAGACATCATATATAACATTACTAAGTATACAATGCTTGTTGTTGATTTTGTTGACAATTAGAGCTTTAAATAGTAGATTTAGGTAGTAATTAGCTTTTTTGCAGCATTGTGGATCAGTTTTGATCCATTCGTCTTAGCAAATGCTCTTTAATTTCCCCAAGTTACACAAGTCCCTCTGATGGACTCACAGTTTCAAAATCCTTCATAAAGTTTCAGAAAAAAAAAATATCTGCTGATGCAACAAAGAACTCATCTAAATACAAAAAATCTAGAGCAAACCTGCATAATTCTGATGGAGTTCCAACACTGTGCCTGTGTTAAGGAAGGAAAAGAATCTGAAAGGTAACTATGCAAAGCATTATCCTAGAATGGGTTTTTGTACAGTGTAGCTGGGTTTCCTGTCACTGTGGGCTTCATGGCACAGTAGTAGAGTGCAGAGTCTGATACTGCAGCAGAGGAGATTGTCAGATTCACTGTTTTGTCATGTTCTGTAGCATTCAGTCTTGGAAACGGTGGGGTTGCATGGCTCACAATTTTTGCTGCTGGCAATATCATCAGCAAATACTCTGGTCTGGATCCAGGATACTGACGATACCACTGCAGACTATCAGGAGTACGACTTTCATTATGCTTGCAGGAGAGAGTAACTGTCTCATCTTCAAGAGCATGAACCTTCATTTTGTTCTCCAGTGGTGCTATTGACTGTGCAGAGCAGTCATCTGTGAAGAAAAAGTCAAGAATGTTGTATCCTTTTGTATTCTCTTGAATGAATTGATACTCAACTTATCACTGACTTACCACACACACACACACACACACACACCATCATCATCATCATCATCATCATCATCATCATCATCATCACCACAAAGTCAAAAACAGAAAACAAGCATGTATTTCACATAGATATAAATAGTTAATAATGCATACCTATTATGATCATAAAGACAGTCAGAGAGCACAGAAACATCATGGTGGTTCCAGTGTTCAGATAATGAGGAGAGATTTGGTGCTACTGTTCAAGCATGTAAAGACTCCTCCTACATTTGTCAGTGGATCTGTTATAAGAACAGAGGAATGCAGATCAGTATATTAAGTTATTTAAATTTGACTTCTAAGAAAATTACTTTTTTTCTGAGCCTCAGTTCTGTTTCACCTTGTCCTCTCTTTACTTTTTTGCTATGTTAAACTCATGGATGTTTATATTCTAATGTATATTTGATGTGGCCGATGAATGTTCAGCTTTTTAATTGACTTTGATTACGCTACCGATTTCTTTGGATCTGTGCCGTTTTTTCTTCATTTCACTTTCATAGACACTCTGAGTGGAAAATCAGCTTATTGTTGTTGTGTAGCTTTATTCCCCTCGGCTTACTGATCTTGTAAAAGATTTGCTGAATATGCCAGTTTGTGCTGAACTCACCTCACTACAACAAATCCAGATTAAACCTGCACTTTTCTGGTGGCCTTCCATCATTGCATCTACATGTGATGCTGTTTTTATCTGTGGCTTAAACACAATCCTGAAATGAAAGCCATTTTTGAAATCACATTGCTCCTCACTGTGACTTGTCAGCAGTCCTTATAATTCTTAAAAAGAGAAAAAACAAAAATAAAAACAGCTAAAAACTGTACCCTTTATATATTCTCTATATTATGTTATATATAACTTAGTTTACATAAGAGCTACAAAGTCATAGGAAGAAAAGGTTTCAGACACCATAAATAACATTATTAGTTATTTTTACTTTGTCAACAATTACAACTTTAAGCTCAGAAATAACTGACTATTTTCAGCCTTGTGGATCAGTTTTGATCTGCTTCCCTAAGTAAACCCTCTTCAGTTCCCCATGGTTCCCCAAGCCCCTCTGATGAACTTGCAATTTCACAGTCCTGCATAGACTTTCAATAGGATTATATATATATAATGACGTTTACCACGTTTACCCATTCTACTGCCAGTGTTTGTCTGCCAAGACTGCACGGCTATGTGCTTAATTTTATCCACCTGTTAGCAATGAGTGTGGCTGAAAAACCTGAATAAGGAGGGGTGTCATAAAACTTTTGCCCATATAGTATATATAGAAAGGCAACTCAAAACAAAATGCAAAGATTATTCTGCAGTGAGTTTTTGTACAGTGTAGCTGGGTTTCCTGTCACTGTGGGCTCCATGGCACAGTAGTAGAGTGCAGAGTCTGATACTGCAGCAGAGGAGATCGTCAGACTCACTATAGTGTTACTTTGTTCAATATTCAGTCTTGGAAAACGTGGCGTTGCGTAGCTCACAGTTTTTGATGCTGGCATGATCATCAGCAAATACTCTGGTCTGGATCCAGGATACTGACGATACCACTGCAGATTCCTCGGAGTTCCACTATCATTATACTTGCAGGAGAGAGTAACTTTATCATCTTCAAGAGCATGAACCAGTATTTTGTTCTCCAGTGGTGCTATTGACTGTGAAACACAGTTCTCTGTGAAGAAAAAAATCATACAAATTTTGCATCCTTTTTTCTTCTTTTAAAAAGAAGAGATTTCACACACACATCACCACAAAGTCAAAAACATAAAACATAAAAATGTATTTCACACAGTTATGCCTTATGTCTACATACCTAGCATGATCATAAAGACAGTCAGAGAGCACAGAAACATCATGGTGGTTCCAGTGTTCAGATAATGAGGAGAGATTTGGTGCTACTGTTCAAGCATGTAAAGACTCCTCCTACATTTGTCAGTGGATCTGTTATAAGAACAGAGGAATGCAGATCAGGAGAATAACAGTTATTGACATTTAACTCTTAAGAAATTTTTTAAGACCTCAGTTGTGATCAGTTTAATTGTCTCACTTTGTGCTCCCTTTACTTAGTTAGTTGTTATACAGGGTGTCCCAAAAAATTGACATCATTTGAGATGTGAATATCTGAGTAACTACATGTCCTGGGCAAACAAAATTAAATAGACTTCATGTTGAACAATACAAGATTTATTAATCAAAATTCAAACAAGAAATTCAGAGGGATGTAGATTTTATAACTGATTACACAAAGCTTCACAAATGTTCAATATAAGACTTTCTGTGGCTTCGCACAAATGTTTCTCGAACCTGATTGATGATATCTTTCAATACTGGTGGTCGTCCAAATCCCTTTGCCTGCACAGACTGCATGCCTATATATATTTGTTCTGCTCCACTTCCTGACCTTTTAAAAGTTGTGCTGGATGTTGAGTTTGCGCCGAATACAAGAAAAGGAGCGTATCTGAGTATATGACAGTTAGACTGCAATCTCAGATTTTTATATAGTTGATTTAGTTGGTCTTTCACTTCAGCTTCTTCTTACAAATGCATAACTTACCTCAAACCAGCAAATCCAGACTAAAGCTGCCCTCTTCTGGTAGACTTCCATCATTACATCTCTGCATGTTTTTGTTTTCTTAATGGCTTAAACACAATCCTCAAATGAGCCATTGCTTAGTTTTGGTTACACAAGGTTTCATCGGTCCCTCTGATGAAATCCTCATTGTTCAGTGGAATTCAAGTGAGGAGATGGCAATGCAAACTACTTCACTGTAGAACGCAAACAGGGGTGTAGCACCAAAATTTATGCCCCAGGCACAGTAATATGTCCAAGAACCCCCTACATTCTCCAAAGCAAATACAGAAAAAATAGCTATTGTGGCATCACTGGCATGGTCAGGCGATGTCTGGAGGCTTAGGGCTCATGTGACTGAGGGGGCAGGTTGATTGGTACGTGCATGTACATGTGGATAATTGTCTCTCTCCCAACTAATATGCCCTTCTTTCCTCAGTAGAGAGCTGGGAGAGAGGAACAGAGGCAGCAGAACAGACAGTTGAACCCTGAACTAAGCTTGGTGCAAAGTCTTGTTATGTTTTCTCCTAGCAATTCTGAGCAGTACATTCCTTGTATGTATTCTCTGGTTATGACTCCTTGCTCATGAATTATGTTATTGATTTCTGGATTTTAGTTTTGGACTTTCTGCTTTATTTCATGTGAAGCTCTTATGGTTTTGACCCTGTCTGTCTGTGTTTACGATTATTCAAGTTCTTCAATAAACCTGCACTTGATTTCAATCACTCTCTGGGGGGTTCATCATTACAACTGTACGAACATTTAACTTTAGATTATTTGGAGTTCTTGTGATGGTCTCGTCACTTTTGATGATATCAGGAATTCAAAAGGGATCTTTAAGCAGTTTTATGCCCAGTCTAGGTACATTGAACATTAATTATGAACTCATCAGGAGCTCATAATGAGATCACATAAATACATACTTTACACTGTATCTGCTCTCAGAAGTACATCAGACCGTCTGAATATTTGAAAATCACTGTTTTGTTCATGTGATGGCTCCACACATCGCAACCTTAGTCTAGACTATTTACTTAAATGTAACTTAGCATCAGAATTATGTAAAACATGAACTGTCACTCTGTAAAAGTTTAAGGGAGATACAGAAGCCGCAGTTCATCTGAGACTACAAGGATAAAACTGCAGTATTAAATTTTATGGCTGTTTTATTTGTGTCCTCACTTCAACTTCCATGAATAACTCACATCAATCTAGAAAATCTAAATTAAATCTGCCCTTCTCCCCTTCTATCTTTGCATGTGTTAAATATTGCTGACTTTCTTTTTAATATATATAATTTACACACACACACACACACACACACACACAACCTTGAAATTACAACTCATTCACCAACCATGTTTTTCTGTAAATGGAGTAGAGTATAGTAGGAATCTGAAAGAAAACTCAATATAAAATGCAAAGCATCATCCTGCAGTGAGTTTTTGTACAGTGTAGCTGGGTTTCCTGTCACTGTGGGCTCCATGGCACAGTAGTAGAGCGCAGAGTCTGATAATGCAGCAGAGGAGATTATCAGATTCACTGTTTTGTTATTTTCTGTAGTATCCAGTCGTGGAAAACGTGGCGTTGCGTAGCTCACATCTTTTGATGCTGGCAATATCATCAGTAAATACTCTGGTCTGGATCCAGGATACTGACGATACCACTGCAGACTGTTAGGGATAGCACGATCTTCATAATTGCAGGAGAGAGTAACTTTCTCATCCTCAAGAGCATGAACCAGTATTTTATTGTTCAGTGGTTCTATTGACTGTGAAACACAGTTCTCTGTGAAGATAAAAATCACAAAAAGTTTGCATCCTTTATTCTTCTTAAAAACAAAAATCTCTACCTAATAACTGATATTCCATACACAAACATCACCACAAATTCAATAAAAACTGAAAAATGTATTTCATACAGTTATTGCTGTAGTTAATAACTCATACCTATCATGATGATAAAGACAGTCAGAGAGCACAGAAACATCATGGTGGTTCCAGTGTTCAGATAATGAGGAGAGATTTGGTGCTGCTGTTCAAGCATGTAAAGACTCCTCCTACATTTGTCAGTGGATCTGTTATAAGAACAGAGGAATGCAGATCAGGAGAATAACACAGTTCTCTAATTTCCCAGCTAACAAAATGATTCTTTTTTATTTATTTTTAAACACCAATAAACTGTAAATTATTTTCTTTTCACTCTGTGTTCTCTGTACCTTGTGTTTGTGATTATACTCATAGAAATTTCAATTCAAATGTTTATTTGATGTGATGATGACCTATGAATGTTCATGTTTATTAAAGATTTTAATTATAGCTCTGATTCAAGGTTGTCTCATTTTTGTACATCTATTCAGTTTTTTCTTCACTTTATTTTCACTGTCATATCAGTTGTTATTGTTGTGTAGCTTTGTTGTGCTGAATATTAAGTAATCTCTGAATATAATAAAATGAGAAACAGACGTCACAATCCATCTGAGAATACCACAGTTAAACTGTCTCAGGTTTTTATACGTTAGTTTTACTTTGTCTCTCACTTCAGCTTCCTCTTAAAAATGCTTAACTCACCTCAATCCAGCAAATCTAGAATTAATCTGCCC